TGTCGAAGATGTTGGGGGTTCGGATGTCTAGATTGGCGGTGTTAGGGGAGGAGGCGGCGGGGCATGTGGCCGTCAGGGAGGCGGCGAAGGAAGGGTCCATGATGGGGTCGACGGTGGGGGAGATACGGCTGAAGAATGCGCCGCAGTGGGAGCGGCCGAAGGTGTGGGCTCCGGAGAGGGCGACGACGTCGGTAGCGTCGAAGTTTTGGGCACCGAAAGCGTTGAGGAGGCCGCCGGTAGAGCTGAATGGACCCGGAAGGTTGTTGGTTCCGGCGACGCTGAAGTTAAGGCTATCCCGTCTTCCTAACGGCACCGGAAAGTCGGGGCCACCGCACTGTGTCATCAAAGGAAAGAGATCAACCTTTTTTTTTATTTTTGTTGTTGCTCAGTGTCGTCCAGCGGGTGTTAATTTTTTAAATGCTTTTGATTGTGGTAAAACATTTTAGTACAAAATGTTGATGGGATCAAGGAACTCACTAAGTCATGGAAGATGATAATAAATTAATAATATAATAATTCAAACTCAGAAAATAATAAATATTTGGATTAAACAATAAAAATACCTAAAAATAGAACTTAGTGTTGAATGAATTGACATATTGATCCTTAAATTTTAAGGATAGAATTTAATGGATTGAGAAAGAAATGTTGGCCTATTTTATAAAGTTAATAAGTACGATGTATCATTGTTAACTTAAGGATATTAGAAATTTTCAAAGAAAAGTTCTTGTATGTATTTTTACACCTTATATTTATTTCTATTTTGTAAATGGACGTTAGAAAAATGTAATGAGATGAGGAAAGATGTCTTAACTAAAATAGTTTATGAATATTTATATAGCATTGTTAACTTAAATATACTAGACACTTTGGCAAAAAAGTTTGTAAATATTTTTGCCCATTTAACCCTAAATGTTTCACCCAATCATTAATACAAAGGTACTTCTCCTTTTATCAAAATCAACAAAGTCACAAAGAGATGAAATGATTTTCAAATTTACCCTTATTTTTTATAAATAAAAGTTTAAGTAAATTGAGTCTAATTGGGCATATCTTTGGGTTTAATAAAGAGTATTTATAGAAGTATTTACAAATTATTCATTATTAAAATTTTCATATCGACAGTAAAATTTAAACACACAATCTTATAAATGGAATCAAACCATTGTAAACTATGGATCAACTTTTGTCGGCCAAATTTACTCCTATTTTAAAACATGGATTTTTTAAAAAAGTTATAAGAACTTGTAAATTTGAGTGATTTAAATAAAAAAACTAATTAAAGTGTCACCTTTTCTGTAAAGTGATAATAATAATCTGATTATTATTAATATAAAGTAGGGTTGGGAGTATAGATACACTTTTAAGTACTTAATCAGGAATCCCATGTTGCATAAGTGGTTTCTCCACTATTGTAGTGACTTTTAGTCTCTCTTTTTAATTCCTATTTCCCTACATTATGCCATCATGTTCTCGATATAATGCGTTGTTGGATTCTTCAGCTTTTTGCCTTTTTCTTTTCTTTATTTTTTTTTAATTTTGATGCTTTATCTATAACGACTCGTTAAAAGAATCATCATGTTGTCCGACTTATCAAGACTTTTATTTTAAAAAAAAAATTCTTTTCAAGTAGCTAAATAAGTGAATCATGCACGTAAGATCCCATTGGCTGATCTAAAGGAGATTATTTCCATAAAGCAAGAAATTACCAAGAAAACAGCATCACGAGCTGCAAGAACTGTTAGGTCAGAGCAAGAGACTACTCTTCCGCACTGTGTATGAACAAGAGCTCTAAGATCTTCAATGGTCTGAACGCCTCTGGCCTTAAGGTCACGTTTGGGGGTGCGTCCTTCTCGCTCTGATCGTTTGGCGGCACGGCATCCAACAACACCGAGCCATCGCATCCCTGCCATAATCATTTTTTATATGTCACCCAAACAACTTTCATATTCATTTGTTAGGAAGGGAGCCACCGTCCAAGAAGAAGAGAGAGAACAAATTGATAAAGAGTTTTGGAAGTATATTACATTTTAAGTCAAAATCTTAAGAAAATGGGTCTTCCCTTGTATATATATTATTAAGCTAAATTATATCCATCCAATTTTATCTGAGCCCACCAACGGTTGGACATCTTAATAATGTCTCAATTAAGTGTGAGTTCACAAGCTCTTCATATTAAAGAGAACCTCAACATCAAAGTTCTTGCCTCCTACAATAAGAGCCAGCTTAGTTTTTGGCTGAGGCTCAAACAATATAGCACATATAAGTCCCTACTACAACCAGGGTCAATCTTATTTTAGGCTCCAAACATGTGCGTAGTATAGGCTTCTAAGTCCCAAGCAAAACCTGATTCTGATAGCACTCATTAGGAATAAGGAGCGACTGTCTAAAAACGGAGGAGAGAGATCAAATAAGCAAAGAGTAGTGGAAGGATACTGTATATATCTTAACTCAAAGCCTCATGACTGAAGTTTCTAGATGCATTTTCTTTATTTAATATTAGTTATTAAGCCTAACATTATCCTCCTAACTTTCCATAACAACTAGTTTTGCAAGGAGTCTAAGATGAGTCATATACTGACCTGGACAAAGCAGTCGTGGAAGAAGATGCGAGCAATACCGGCCGCTTGGCCGATGTCCCGCCTGAACACCTCTCTAAGGTGGTTTCTAACCAAAGCTTCAAGCTGGGGACAGCTTGATTGGTAGAAAGCCCAAGACAGTCCCTTCACTATAGGAGGCCTGGCTTGTGCCTCAGAGGCTTGGACATGGGAAAGCAACAACAATACAGTTGAACTCAACAAAACCAAAGTGTGTAGTGAAGCAGCACTTGCCATCTGCTCGTTGAGTTTTGTACTGTGTTCGTGTATTATAATGCGCCCTGTGGAAGCAAGGAGCTTGCTATTTATACACCAAAATAGGTTGTCGTGTATTGTGCTAGAGCGTGCAGAACGGGTTCTATATATATATATATATATATATTAATGAATTAGTGAAAGTAATAAAATTGTTTTAAAATTATACCATTTTCTATTTTTTCCCTTTCAAACGCCATCATTAAATACTTTTACTCCCCTGTCCACAATATATTAACTACTATCTCTGCTTTAATTTATAAGACACTTTTAGATGAAATTTAATATTTTAAAATAGAAAAATTAAAATTTATATACTTAGTTTTATATACTTGACATATTAAAAGTCACTTATTTTTATTTGATTAGATAATAGCATATTAAGTATATAAGGTTAAGTACATAAATCTTGCCATTTTAAAATATAAAATACTTTGACAAAAATATGGTTTTATTAATGAAATTTTTGTTAATATTACCCTTCCCATTATATACATGGAGCATTAAATAAAGGAATTTTTGACATTTATATTTGTCTTAAAAAAATAAGGTCATAAAATACTCTTAATGAGCTTTATTGATATATATGATTTTGTATAATTGAAAAAATATGTAAACTACCAAATATCCTATATTATTATTGTTTTACCCAAAAAAAAAAAAGAGAGTCCTGTATTATGACCGAAAGTCCGAACTATATATGATTATGACAAGAAAATGGACTGGAGGGAATATATTTCACTGAAATGTGATCAAAAAGGTATTTTAGAATAACTCATTAAATATTTCACAAAACGATGAAAAATGACTTATATTAAAAATCATAACCTAATAACAACAACAAATGGGACTGAAGAAAGTGTTATTTACGAGTAACATCTTAATAGTGCAATTATTTACATCTTTTACTATATTTTATTTATATTAAAATTTAAGTTGATTATTTTTATATATTTTTATAGGTAGGCCTGCCACTATACCACTATTCATGTTTCTTTTAGTTTGTTTAATTATAATTAAATCATAGAGGAACAGGTCATAATCAAATTAATATGTTTTTACTTATAGATCAAGCTTAATTAGGAGGTATTTACCATTTTTCCTCAGTATATTAGTTTTTGGTTGCTGGCCGAAAACACTCCTAATATCTTATCAGTTTTTAGCCTTTTTATTGACAATTCATTATCATGATTTTATTAATTTTTCTGTTTTTCAATTCAACCAATTATGGAAGCATTTCGAAAAACAAAATTTCAAAGTTCTTCCGGTGGTTCTCGAAAGGACTTGTAATTTCACCTTCACACATATTCCTTCCGTTAGTTAATATAAGATAAAATTAACAAATTTTATGTTTATTAAAAAATGATAGTTATAATTAAGAGGGATCAACCCTTTACCATTTAATCCAAGAGTCAGGTTGTTTTCTCATTTTTAAATGCTAACCAATAAAATGATAAGCTTTCATCTAATCATAAGATTAAGCAAATAGAATTTGAACAAGTTAAAAGAAAAAGAAAAGATACTTGAAAAAAAACTGTCATGTTCTATTGATGTGTAAAATTTACAATATATACACACAAAAAATACCGTTCTAATAATAATTATATAACTACCGAATACAAATGATGACCAATAAATATAAAATATTCCTTAATTAAAGTTTGCATCTGTGCTACTCTCAATTGAATAAACTCTCTTTCATGTTATATCATAATTATGTATTTAAACCCCTCAATTTATGTAATTATGTGTGTATAATTTAGCAAGCAATCAGTATTATATTATATTATATTTATACTTTGATTAATTCAAATTAAGTTGAGTTGAATTTTAAAAATATAGCTCTCTCAAAAAATATATCTTCTATATGTACATAAACTCAAACATAATTACATAAATAAAATATATGCTAATTGTTATATATTGAATTTTAATAGTTAAAAAGTCCTCAAATTTAATAGCTAAAAAGATAATATTGTACTAATTTTTTTATATCTTTTCACTAATTAATAATTATAATGATATCTTCTACTGATTGTTTTCATTTTTTTTTTTTTACATATTTTGAAATAGGAAAAATGCAAGCTGAATTAAATTGTGGACACTGAAAAATTATCCAAAGTGCAGCAAGCAGAAAATGAACACGCACAAACTAAGCCATTATTACTACGTTCAAAGACCATATGAAAAAGCAACAAGATCATCAATCAAAGTTAGACTGAGAATCAGAAGCCTCCACACTAGTCTCCATGGCTTCTTCAACAAAGAAGAGATCAGATCTCAAACATGGTGAAAATCAAAGGGACACACATCATTAAACTTAAAACTGAGTCAACTCCTCCATGTCTTCAACCACCGACGGCAACACAGACGACGTCTTTCCGCCGTTGGTGGCGGAGCACGTACGGCGAATCTCCCCTTGGTTCCCGGTCAACACGCTCAATTGACTCATCTTGATCATGGCATTGACAAACTTGTTAAAGAAATATCTCTGGTTCCTAGCGAAGCTGACGACGATGTTCTTGGTTCTGTGATCATTGAACAGATCCTGGTCGGAGGTGAAGAGGCCTTGTCGGTTTATGAGGTCGACGTAGTACTGGTTGTCGAAGATGTTGGGGGTTCGGACATCGAGACTGGCGGTGTTGGGGGAGGAGGCCGCGGGGCACTTGGCCTTCAGGAAGGCAGCGAAGTAAGGGTCCATGGTGCGGTCGACGGTGGGGGAGATACGGCGGAAGAAGGAGCCACAGTGGGAACAGCCGAAGGTGTGGGCGCCGGAGAGAGCGACGACATCGATGGCGTCGAAGTTTTGGGCACCGAAACTGCCGAGGAGGTCGCCGGTAGAGCTGGATGGGCCCGGCAGGTTGTTGGCTCCGGCGACGCTGAAGTTAAGGCTGTCCCGCCTTCCTAATGGCACCGGAAAGTCGGGGCCACCGGACTGTCATCAAATCAAAGGAAACAAATTAAGGGTAACACTCAATTTAAATTACATTTAAAATATACTTTGTCAAATTTAACAAAAAGTTGAATCTTTAATGTATTCTTGTTAAATGTAAATTGAAAACTAAACACAAACTAACATTATTATTATTTTTAAAACTAAACACAAACTAACATTATTATTATTTTTTCCTTAGTGTTGGCCAGCGCGTGTTAATTTTTTTTAAATGCTTTTGATTTGGTTTTTTTTTTTTTACCAACTAAATGCCTTTGATTGTGGTAAAACATTTTACTACAAAATATTGATGGAATCAAGGAACGCAATTAGTCATGTAAGATGATAATAAATTAATAATATAAAATTCAAACTCAGAAAATAATAAATATTTGAGTTAAATGATAAAAATATCCAAAAATAAAACTTAACGTTGAAATAACTTGACATTTGGAGAAGGAAAGTTGGCCTATCTTATCAAATCAAAAAAGAGATGAAATGATTTTGAAATGTACTTCTATTTTTTTATAAACAAAAGTTTAAGTGAGTTAAATTATAGGACTCGCGGACATATCTTTAGGTTTAATAAAAAGCATTTATAGATATATTTATATATTATTAATCATTAAGATCCTCATGTTAACAGTAGGATTTAAACAGTGAGTTGAGTCAAATCCTTATAATCTATGGACCAACTTTTGTCTGCCAAATTTACTCCTATTTTAAAACAATGGATTTTCTTAAAAAAAGTCATAAGAAATTGTAAATTTGAGTGATTTAAAAACTAATTAAAGTTTCAACTTTTATGTAAGGTGATACTAATAATCTGATTGTTAATATAAAGTAGGGTTGGAAATACAGATATACTTTTAGTACTTGTTCAGGAATCCCATAATCCCTATTCTCCAGTATTGTAGAGACTTTACTCCCTCTCTTTCTTTCTTTTTAATTCCAAAGGACATTACTTCCCTATATTATATCATCATGTGCTCCATAATGCGTTGTTGGATTCTTCAGCTTTCTGCCTTTTTTTTTTCTTTTTTCTTTTTTAATTTTCATTTTTAAATTTTGTTGCTCTATCTCTAATAAGGACTTGTTAAAAGAATCATCATGTTATCCAACTTATCTAGACTTTTATTTTTCTAAAAAAAGAAAATTCTTTTTAATTAGCTTAATAAGTGAATCATGTACGTAAGATCCCATCGGCTGATCTAATATGAACATATATAATATGATTACTGGACTTGCAGAGTTAATAATATAACCAAAACATATACCTTAGTTAATTACTTTTATTTAATTACTTTCATTAAGCTGTGTATAAAATTACTCCAACCCAAAGCCAAATAAGAATTGATGGCCGACAAGATAAAAAAGAAAAAGAAAAAAAGGAGATTATTTCAATAAAGGAAGAAATTACCAAGAAAACAGCATCACGAGCTGCAAGAACTGTTAGGTCAGAGCAGGAGACTACTCTTCCACACCTTCTATGAACAAGAGCTCTAAGCGCTTCAATGGTCTGCAACGCCTCTCGCCTTAAGGTCTTGTTTGGGGGTGTGTCCTTCTCGCTCCGATGGTTTGGCGGCACGCCGTCCAATAACACCGAGCCATCGCATCCCTGCCATAATCGCTTTCATATTACCCAAACAACTTTCATATTCGTTTGTTAGGAATGTTGGTGCAGAAATAGGATAGAGAACAAATAGATAAAAAAATTTGGAAAAACATTACATCTTAACCTAAAATTTTAAAATTACGTTCATGGGTCACTCTTCTTTATCATATATATATATATATATATATTAGTTATTAAGTTTAATATTATCCACTTAATTTTATCTGATATGGAATTTCTCATATCGTTTCAAGTCTACTCACACTTAAACATAATAATCTCTCCATCAAATGTTACCTACAAATTGCTCATATAAAAAAAATGACCCAAACACTGAAGTCTTTGCCTCCTACCAGTGGCGGAACTAGATGTATTGTGAGGGGGTCCTTCTTCTCATATATTGCTATGGGTCTTAAAATATTTTGCCCCATGACAAACATCAACCCCCTCCCTCCTCCAAAAAAAAAAAAAAAGACAAAAGAAGCCTGATATATCTAGATGCAATATATATATATATATATATACAATTTTGTAATATTATCTATTATTTTATTTATAAGACAAAAAATAATTTTTTGTTCTATTTATAAATCATGTCATTACATTTTATCCATTTTTTATTGAATTAAGAATTAATATTAACAAGACTAGTTTGAGAAATAATTGCATAGACACAAAACACTACGTCATCTATACTCTATGTAAAAACATGTCATGCTAGATAATTGTAAATATAAATTGATTCTATCATTGATGCAAATAGACAAAGAAAAGATAAAAAAGTAAATATACACTCTATTTCAAAAATGAGATTATTAAAATTAATGGCATAATATTTTATTTGATTGATTTGATATAATTTTATTAGATAGAATACAAATAGCATGGTACACTATATCCATACAAGAACTCCTCAACTAATTTAGTTATGTTTAACATATACTTTTAATGTTTGTAAATTGGTTTATAATTTTATAAAATTTGAAGATCACTTATACTTTTTTAGATCATCAATTTATAATAAAAAATGAAAATTAATAGAAAATATAAACAATCATTCACACACACATATATTCTGTATAAATTTTTTCTTGAAAAATAATATAGTACATATATGGTGACATTTTGTATTTTGAAATACCATTAGATATAACTATGATTTAATGATATTTTAAATTATAAGTTATTTTTAAGAAATTAAGTTTAAAAAATATAATGAAATTAAATTAACAATATATATGTGTGTGTACATTTTTTTAAATAAAACAATTTGGCCCGCACAAATTCTTGTTATTGTTGAGGTTAATTTCATTTTAAACTTCAAACGTGTGTGTAATTTGGGCTTTCAAATCTTAGGTCAAACTTTATTTTGATATTACTTGTTTAGGAATGAGGAGTGACAATCTAGAAACAAGAAAGATAACAAATGGACAAATAATAGTAAAAAGATAACATAGCTTAACTCAAAATTAAACCTCGTGACTCAAGTTTCTGAATATTCTTTGTCTTATATTTTATATTAATTATTAAATCTAACTTTAACCTTCTAACTTTCCATAACAAATAGTTTTAGACCGAGTCTAAGATGAGTCTTACTGACCTGGACGAAGCAGTCATGGAAGAAGATGCGAACGATACCAGCCGCCTGGCCAATGTCTTGCCTGAACACCCTTGTAAGGTGGTTTCTAACCATACCTTCAAGCTGGGGACAGCTGGACTGGTAGAAAGTCCAAGACAGTCCCTTCACTATAGGGGGCCAGTATTGTGCCTCAGAGGCTTGGATATGAGAAAGTAACAACAATACAGTTGAACTCAACAAAGCCAAAGTGTGTAGTGAAGTAGTGCTTGCCATCTTGTTGAGTTTAGTACTGTGTTTGTGTATTTCTCTGTGCGCCTTGTGGAAGCAACGAGCTTGCTATTTATACACCAAAATAGGTTGTCGTGTATTGTGCTGGAGCGTGTAGAACGGGTTATATGAATAAATTAATTAAAGCGGTTTCCGACTTACTAACAAAAATTAATGAGTTAGTTGAAGTAATAAAATTGTTTTAAAATTAAATCATTTTCCATTTTTGCCCTTACAAACACCATCATTATATACTTTATTTGACTCCCCTGTCCACAATATATATTGGTAACTTCCAGGGGCGTACCCACATGCATAGTGAGGGGGACCTTCCTTCCTCTTACTTGTATTTATGTAGGTCTAATATATCTAAAGTTTAATATACCTAGTTGAAATATTTACTCACACTTAAGGTAAAGAGAAATTTTTCGTATCATATTAATAAATCATGTCATTAAATTTTTATTATAAGTTTTCTTTTTTATCTTTTATTAAATATTGGTAAATATGTTACTAAAGCATACATATTTAATAGGAATAAAGTAAAACTTATTAAAATTTTAAAAGAATTAATGAATTTTGAAATTTTTCTTTGTTTCAATAAAACATGTTGAAAGTGGCTTATAAGTAAAAGTATAAACATTCAGGCCAAAAAAAAAAAGAGTATAAACATATTTGTTAGTTATAGTGTTATATGTATTCTTATTTTAATATTTTAAGTAAAAAAAATATATTCTAATACTTTATTAAAATATTTTCATTTTTAAAATTATCACTGTAATGATAATAATTCAGGGAGCTTTTGTATTTTGATTACTTGTATTGGACCTGAGAGTGATTTTTCTATAAAATATATTGGAAGTAACTTAAAAATTAAGACTTGTACATTTTTTATGTATTATTTATTTTATAAGAAGCTCTTATTATAATATGATTAACAATTTAAGATCTACTTATTTTAATTTGATTGGAAAAAATATATTATATATAAGAGTAAATATGTAAGTCTTTCCCTATATATAATTATCATAAGTTTTAAAATTTATTTTAATTTATTTTTTAAAAAATAATTATAAAGAATATAAAAATCAAATTAACAATAGATATGTGTGTGTACATATTTTTTTTAAAAAAATTGCCCCCCTCAACCCCAAGGTTGGTTCCACCCCTAGTAACTTCTATCTCCATCTTAATTTATAAGACATTTTAAAAAAAAGATTTAACATCCCAAAATGTAAGAGATGCACTTTGATAAAATAAAGCTTCATTAGTGATCTTTTTTTAATATTATCTTTCTCATTATGTTCCCTCTCTTTAATATTTTTTACAGATGGAGTATTAAATAAAGAGCATTTTTAAGAGTTTATATTATTTTTTTTTGAAAAAATAAGGTTGTAAAGTGTTTTGATAAATTTTACTAGTATACATGATTTTATTTAAAAGTATATTATAAATTGAGATGGAAGGAGTACTTCACATTTTTGTTTAAAAAAAAAAAGAAGTTGAAACCTTCATTTTAAAAAATTTGTACATATTTTTAATTGTATTCTCATCAAATGCTTTATATAAGTTTCTTAAAAGTTTTCCTCCATTTTTTAATATAAAACTTATTAAAATTTATAAGTTTCCCTTCATTTTTTAATATAAAACGAAGTTAATAAATTTTATGCTTATTAAAAATGGTAATTATAACTTTAAAATTTTTTAAAAGAATATGTAAGTTTTCAATTTTACTCGTTTAGGAATTGAACTGACAATATATCTACAAAGATAAAATTAAAAAAATATTAATTATTTTAACTTTGTCTTATATTTTAAAAAAAATTTAAATTTCATTTTATATTAAGAACCGGAGTGGTGTATTTGTGTGAGAGAGATGAAAATGTTTAAAAAATATTTTTTTAAGTATGTTTTAAAATCAATTGATAATAAATATATTTACGCCTTTGTTTACTGTTGATTTGGTCATTTATGAGTTGAATGTGTAGGAGATGTGCATATAATTGAAGAAGTCATTAGTGAGATGTTTAATTTAAAGGTATTTAAATGTTAAAACTTGAAAATTTTTGCAGATTAACATTCAAAATATAACTATCACGTGGCCTTTGGCATTTGGAGCCTCAAGTCTGCTTTTTTTATTTTGTTTGCCACCTCATCCGGAGCAAAAGTTGGAGACTATAAAGAGGCCATGTCGTGGGTACAGTCCCTGGAATTAATAAGATTGCATCCCATTGCAAGATGGATGTGCATTTACAATTATCGTTTTATATTTCATCATAGAAAAAAAAACACACACACACACACATGTATTGAGTATTTTATTTCTTAGTATTGGGAGATGAAACTTTTAGTCTTTTAAGCTTGATTTAATTATCCATTTGGTTCTTTTAGTTTAATTTAATTTTTATCATTTTGATCAATTAAATTTGACTTAATTGTTGATTTGGTTCTTAATATTTAAAGAGGATGTAGTACTGCTAAAATATGTTGAATAAATAATGGAATATTGATGGTAACTTTGTAGCTTAATGAAAATAAAGTATAATTATTTAAATAGGTAAAACACAAACACAAAAATTTTAAAAAATAAAATTAAACTGTTTTGATAGCAAATTTGTTCTCGTTTAGTTACATATATATATATATATAAGCCAAGTCATCAACATATACTTTTTACATGGTAGATTAATTTGAAAGTTAATGTATGTCTTAAAACTGAATGACTAACATGATGATTTAAGAATCAAAAACTCTTAACCAAATCAAACAAGGGACTAGCTTCAGTGGCAGAGCCACATGCATTTGAGGAAGGCATATTGAAATGGAAAAAAAATTATATGTATAGGAATATAAGTTTTCATATTTTTCACCCTCTCATTGTTATATTTTGCACCTTCTTGTTTAAATTTTTTTAATTTTAAACCCATTTCATATTACGTTTTAACCCAAATCTAAAATTAAAATTTTTTAACTCAAAATTTAGTTCACAATTTCACCATACCCAATACAAATATTATTTTATAAAAAAATTTGATTTATAAAATCATTTTTATTATTTTTTTTTCTTCACTTATTAATATGTAAATGAATTTGCCGCTTAGTTCAGGATTCTGATTTCGTCACTGACTAGTTCATTATTGGTATGATCAATGACGGACCACGCAATGGTGGCACTTGCCCCCACTAGGATGAAGAAACTTCACATACATTCCCCAGTAAATCACTCTTGCCACGCCCCTCTTTTAACCAAAAAAAAAAAAATCACTTTTGCCCCTCTTCTACTAACAAAAATTTCATTTGTGTCTCCATATAAAATTCTATTTGTCCAATTTAATATTTGAAAATCTCAAACCTTTATATTTTCGGTTGATTCAATCATATACTTTTTCCAGTTTCATTTATAAAATAGAGATAACTATAATTATCATAATTATAAAACATGTAATTGATTTTTTATAACAAATTTTTTCTTTTACTTCATTTGATGAGAGGGAGTACGTTATTAAAATACACGTATTTAATAATAACAAATTTAAAAAAATTATTACATTTTTAGAACAGTTAATAAAATTTTAAAATTTTACTTGATTCTAGTAAAACATATTGAAAGTGATTTATAAATAGGATTGGAAGGAGTATTTTTAAGACTATAAATTTTTTACATTAATTTTGAATAATTTTTATAAAACTTACTTCCTTCGTTCAAAAATATAAGGTATTTTTAGTTTTTCGAGGTGTAATCATTGCCTTTTTTAAAAAAAGTGCTCCCATTAATGAATGACTTTATATTTATTATAGAGTATTTAATAGAGATAAATATAAAAAGATAGGGTTAGTTTGAAAGTATGTAACTATTTTATTGGGGGTTAGATTAGGTTAAAAATGCTTGACATTTTTGAACGGAGAGACATAATATATTTCTGGGGGAGAATGACACTTGAAATCTCAATTGAACCATTTTATCCCAATAAAGTCCCAAAGAAATTCAAAATTCAAAGGAAATCCTTTGGTCCTTAGTTGATCTTTTAACTAAATTTTAAACTTCCAAATTTACAATCTATTTTCTAAAATTTGCAAATCTTTTTATTTTGATTTGCAACTCAATTTTCCAAATTAATTTAAGAACAAAATTTTTTTTTATAAAAACATAAAATTTTAACATTAAATTTTATAAGATTATTTATTCAATTCTAGGAATTTGCAACTTATTATCTTGAATTTACAATTTTATGTACTATAATTTGCAACTCTATATTCCAATTTTATTTATAAACATAATCTCAATATTTATTTTTCTCATGGCAAACTATTTGTTCAATTACAAGCATTTGCAATCGACTTTACCTAATGTGCAATTCCATTTACCTTAGTTCACAATTTGAGTTCCAAATATTTTTTAGAAATTCATACAAAAAATTTCTTAAATAAAATTAAGATTGAAATTTTGTGTTCATAAATAAAATTGGGATATATAGTTGCAAATACCTCTAGCTCACAAAATAAAATTATAAATTCAAGGTTGAAATCTTGAATTTTAAAATAAAATTTGGAACTTGAATTGCAAAGGTAAATGGAATTACAAACTATAAAGAGTAAGTTACAAAATCTTAAAATTGAATAAGTAATTTCTTATTAGAAAAATAAATATTGACATTTTTTCATAAATAAAATTGAGATACATAGTTGCAAATCGTAGTAGTTAAATTTGCAAATTTAAGAGAGTAAGTTGCAAATTCCTAGAGCTAAATAAATAATTTTTTAAAATTCAATATTAAAATTTTGTTTTTTGCAAAAAAAATTGTATTCTTAAATTAAAATAGGAAATGGAGTTGTAAATCAAAGTAGATGGAGTTACAAATTTCAGAAAATAGATTGTAAATTTGTAAATTTAAAATTTTATCAAAAGATAAATTAAGGACCAAAGAACTTCCTTTGTAATTAGAAATCTGTTGGGACTTTATTTAGATAAAATAATTCTTTTAGGACTTAAGTGTCATTCTCCCACATTTTTTGCCTGACTAATCGGA